TGTTTCCTTCTAGAGGCCTGTGGACCCCTCTCCTCCACTCCTAAATCACCCTCTACACTCTGCCCAACACCTCATCTTCCAACCTGGTTTATCAACATCAACCACCTCTAGCCTCCACCATTTCTGCTTTCTGATGGGGTATGTGATGTTTATGCAGTTTGTCCTTTCTAAGAGAGAGAGCGCGAGATGTAGCCTACAGAGTGCTGACTTGGTGAGAATCCTTGTAATGGTAAAGTATTTTATTATAGTTTGACTGACTTATGAGGGAGGTACTGCGGAATGGCTTGCAGCATGGGGTCACAGTCAGGATTCAATAAGACATGCTTTACGACTCCTCTCCATAGCCGTAAATATATGTTCAAATATAACATGCTAGCCTTTGTCAGAGCCATTTATCTCTATATGGCTCAGACCTTTGTATTTCCTTCTCTAGGCCTACATATAGTGCCTACAATTCCAGTTACCTCTCCTCATCCAAAAGTCAACGCTTCCATATGATTCCTTTCTAGGACTGAATATAGAGCCTACAATTCAACTTACACTCATCCGTTTAAACAAAGCTTCCAGAACATCAGTGCTTCCATATGATTCCTTCTCTAGGCCTACATACACTGAATGTATAAAACATTAGGAACATCTTCCTAATATTGAGTTGCCCCCCCTTCTTTAACCTGTCTCCTCCCCTTCATCTACACTGATTGAAGATGATTTAACAAGTGACATCAATAAGGGATCATAGCTTTCACCTGGTCAGTCTATGTCATGGAAATAATTTAATGACATTTAATCCATAGAAGGTCCTTTGGAGGAAGGATTGTTGACATTTATTTGACATTTCTATCTTAAAGCATAATTGAGAAATAATTGATTGAAGTTGGAACATTTGGGAAATATTGGCCTTCCTCAGGCCTCCTTTAAGACTCCATAATGTTTCATCTGTAATATGAAGCTTTACCCCTTGCTCCGTAATAGGAGTATTTTTATTTTTATTTTTTACTTTGACTAGTTTAGTGTGAATCCTTTTCACTTCTTTCTCAGTCAACAAATGCACATATGATGTATGAGTGAAACAAAACAGTGTGGAAATAAGGAGAAAGGTGACGATGTTGATGACAATGATGATGACGCTGATGGTTATGATGATATCCCAGAAGTGTTTTGATGCCAGGCAATAGATACAAATCTAGGGCTTTAGAGGCACGATACAGTGCCATTTGTCATCGGCGGGCAAGGACAGTCATAATCATCCTATCCGCTCACCTCCCCCATCAGTCTTCCCCTCGCCCTGTATCAGGATCAATCTAGGCTCATTTATTTTAATCATTTCCTGTTTGCTAAACTGCCAAAGTCAAAGGAGGACAATAGAAACAAACATGTCTGCAAACAAGCCAAAACAGGCTTTTTTTAGCCTGTGTTTGCTATTCAGACGACAACCTTTTCGAGAATATAGCTTAGGTTGAACTAAGACATGAATTAATGTAATGTTGTTGCTATTGGCATTTCTGACATAGAGTTAAATGATATGGGATTTTAAATTAATGTAACTATTACAGTGTGTGTGGTTGTGATAACTTGTCAAAAATGTCATGTTTAAATAGAAATGATATAACCAATGTTTTTTTTTTTTTATTAAACAGCTCGCCACCCGCAGAAAGGAAATACCTTTTTAATGTAATGTATATTTGATATTAATCACTCAACTCAACATGCATAACATCATTATCTTTCAACATAGACCTAGGCAGCATCACAAATGGCACCCTGTTCCCGATGTACTGCATTACTTTTGACCAGGGCCCACAGCGTTTTGGTCAAAAGTAGTGCAGTATAGGGAATAGGCTGCCATTTGGGAAAGCAGACCTAGCCTACCGGTAGTCTGTGAAATTATGTGATAGCCTATATTCCAGTCTGTCTGTGAAATTATGCGATAGGCCTGTATCTCAAGTGATTTATTCTTCAACATCCCTCATCAGTTGACAGTAAGAGAGACACTCAAGTGGAGCGAATGAGAGCGTGAGAGATAAGGCAATCACCAGCTGACCCTATTGACTCCCACATCTCCCTGTGGTGGCGACAGGTGGTGCAAACACAGAAGGCCAGTAATAATGGCATGCCAGGACCTGCTCTTTAAGTAGATTGCCAAAAGCAATTAAAGTGAAGATCAAATCCAAAGTACACTCAACAAAAATATAAAGGCAACATGTAAAGTGTTGGTCCTATGTTTCATGAGCTGAAATAAAAGATCCCAGAAATGTTCCATACTCATAAATAGCTTATTTCTCTAAAAGGTTGTGCACAAATTTGTTTACATCCCTGTTAGTGAACATTTCTCCTTTGCCAAGATAATCCATCCATGTGACAGGTGTGACATATCAAGAAGCTGATTAAACAGCATGATCATTACACAGGTGCACCTTGTGCTGGAGACAATAAAAGGCCACTCTAAACTGTGCAGTTTTGTCACACAACACAATGCCACAGATGTCTCAAGTTTTGAAGAACTGCAACATTTACCTGGAGCTAACTCTGCAAATAGCACTGCTGGGTGATTTAAAAAGTCATAGTCAATCAATTAATAATATAATAACACTCTTAGCAAAATAAAATCATATTTAATATGTAGATTCTATGAGAATAGAAAGGTTCAGAACTTTTGTGAAACATCACAGTGCAGTTGAAAAATATATGGCAAATAGAAATCAAAACTGGATGGTGTTCAGAGATAGATGGGAAGGGTTGAGCGGAGCTGAAGGATGGGACTAAAAACAAACAAAATATTATTATTGTAAACTATACTGTGTCCGTAAAATGTACAGTTGAAGTCGGAAGTTTACATACACCTTAGCCAAATACATTTAAACTCAGTTTTTCACAATTCCTGACATTTCATCCTTGTAAAAATTCCCTGTCTTAGGTCAGTTAGGATCACCACTTTATTTTAAGAATGTGAAATGTCAGAATAATAGTAGAGAGAATGATTTATTCCAGCTTTTATTTATTTCATCACATTCCCAGTAGGTCAGAAGTTGACATACACTCAATTACGGTAGTATTTGGTAGCATTGCTGTCACGGATTCAGCCGAGGCTGCCCCTCCTCCTTGCTCGGGCAGGCTTCGGCGTTCGTCGTCACCGGAGTACTAGCTGCTACCGATCCATGTATCTATGTTCGACTTGTTTTGTCTTTATTGGTCACACCTGTTTCCCATTATGTAGTTATGTCTTCCCTATTTAACCCTCTGTCTCACACTGTGTGTTGTGCGTGTTTGTTCATGTTTCGGTTGTCGTTAGTGTGCGGGTTTGTTCCCTCCCTGCGTGGAGGTTGTTGTTCATTCTTTTACCTTCGAGTAAAGTACGCCTTTTGATTAGCTCTGTGTCCTGCGCCTGACTTCGCCTACCGCATTACACTGACGCCTTGACAATTGCCTTTAAATTGTTTAACCTGGGTCAAACGTTTTGGGTAGCCTTCCACAAGCTTCCCACAATAAGTTGGGTGAATTTTGGCCCATTCCTCCTGACAGTGCTGGTGTAACTGAGTCAGGTTTTTAGGCCTCCTTTCTCGCACATGCTTTTTTAGTTCTTCCCACACATTTTCTATAGGATTGAGGTCAGGGCTTTGTGATGGCCACTCCAATACCTTTACATTTACGTCATTTAGCAGACGCTCTTATCCAGAGCGACTTACAAATTGGTGCATTCACCTTATAGCCAGTGGGATAACCACTTTACAATGTTTTTGTTTTTGTTTTTTTGGGGGGGGGTGGGGTGGGGTAAGGGGGGATAGAAGGATTACTTTATCCTATCCCAGGTATTCCTTAAAGAGGTGGAGTTTCACGTGTCTCCGCTGTCCTGGCGCCTCCGTGACACAGAGAAGAGCAGTCTCAGTTGAATGACCAGTCTTGAAACCTGACTGGTTTGGACATAATAATAATAATAATATGCCATTTAGCAGACGTTTTTATCCAAAGCGACTTACAGTCATGCGTGCATACATTTTTGTGTATGGGTGGTCCCGGGGATCAAACCCACTACCTTGGCGTTACAAGCGCCGTGCTCTACCAGCTGAGCTACAGAGGACCACATGAGAGTTGTAGAATTGTTTCCCCACAATATTCTGCTCAACCCAGATAAAGATGTGTTGGTATTTTTGTTCTATCAGATCTGGTTTTGACAGACAGAATTCTGGTGTCAATGTGAAATATGGACAGGACTCAGCACTTTGGCTTACAGGAACATCATTTGATCCTATCAAAGAAAATACTGCCTACAATGTTTAACATATTTTTTCATGACTATTGAGGGTCATGGGCTTATGTCATGTCGTTATCTGCGTGAAATACCATTTATTTGTGTTGTCTCATCATACTCCATCCTCGAGAATTTACACAAGCCTTCTTCGTCATCGGAGACACCGTTCGACGGTTACCATGGTTACAACATCACTTTGTGCTCAATGTCACCACTTCTTGGGACAAACGTTGTGCGCGTAACATGTTTTGAGGAGGCGTTCTTTGTGCCATTGTTCAATGAAGTAAAAACGAGAAAACGGATAAAGTGAGTGATATTTTCAATATAATGCATAATTGACAAAAGAAAGTAGCTTGCTTTTATGCAGAGAAGCCAAAAAAACCAAACATTTTATTTTCCGAAGATAATGGAATGAGTACTACTAGCGGGTCGAATCATGGCTAGCCGGCTAGCTAGTCTGACGGTTTACTGCTGTTTAGCTAGCTAGCTAGCCTATTCGTAAACAATAGAGTTATCTACTGAGCTAGCTAATGTTAGCTACATTGTTACTGGACGTGTAATTCCGCTATTGTTACAGTTGTAGGTAATAGCTATGTATTTGCATTATCTGTCAAAACGTGTGTTCTGTAAGCTAGCTAACGTTAGCTAGCTAGCATTGTCCCCATAATAATTGAATGGATAATGCTAGCCAGCTAGCTAGCTAGTTTAGCTAGCCATATCCCTGCAGGTCAAGCTGTGATGCCTGCATAGCAACATGTACTTTACTCTTGTCTCAACCACCACAGACACTATCATTGTGACTAGTTAGTTATGTGTATTGCTATGATTACCAACACCACAACACCTGCTTGCATAGGCTAGCCTATATTCATATTGTATTTCTGATACTGAGAATTGGCAATTACTGCAATATGGATTTTGATCAGTCGAAAATAACAAAGCAAGGCAATGGTAGCTGAAAATTTGCAGCATAATAAAATTCATTGTTGATTTGATTTGTTGTGAGTTATTTGTAATCATGATTTATATGTGCAATGTTCAGTACATTAAATGGCGACCCAGGCCTGGCTTTAATGGTAATGGTGGTGGTACTTCTCTTCCATGGCACTGAATCTCCTCTGCTCCTCTCCTCTCCCCAGTGGACCGTGGGTCGAAGCGCAGGCAGGTGAAGCCTCTGGCTGCCTCTCTGCTGGATGCCTTAGATTATGACAGCTCAGATGACAGTGATTTCGAAGTGGGAGACGCAGATGCCTCAGGTAACCAACAGCAGTGGGGGTCCTCTTCCATCCACTCCCTGGAAATGTAAATTACACCCTTTCTTCCCCCACACACTCAGTTCATTCCTGTTATGTTGTGATGCACATCTTCTTCAGTCAGTTCAGATAGAACTGGAGAGGAGGAAGATGGAGCTCAGAATTAATTATTCAAACCAACTTGAAATGTACCCAAAAGCAAGGCAGTGATTTCTATTGCAGTTTGTTGCTATTTGATTGTGTATCCTTTTAGAAGTTGGCCCTCATGGACTACTCATAGTCATGAAGTCTCTATTTAGCTGTGGCTTGAATAGCTTTGAATGACACTTCAATGTCCAGCTGTGAGATTTTCCCAGCTGTGATATTTTCCATCTCAACACAGCTTTCAGAAGACTATCTCCACCATGACTCTCTGTCCGGTGTGTCTGTCAGTGCCACCCCACTCTCAGATGCAGGCATCCCAAGGTGTAGATGAAATCCTCATCACCCTGCTTGTCTGTGTCTGGTAGTGACCTTGTAGAGCGGTGTGTTTCTCACTGACTCACTGCATGATCTAGAGACAGGCTGAGGAGATCTCGGCCTGTCACTGTCTGTTTGAGCTGGATTTATCGCTCTGTTGGCCCTGAAGTCTTCATCCACCCTATCTGAAACACACACACTGAGGCCAGCAGCTGATAATGAGATTCTACAGTACTGTGAATCTCCTGGGCTCTGTGGTGTTGGAGTGTTGGACGCTGGACCTGTCAACTGAGACCTTGAAATCCAACAGCTCTTGTTAATCTTATTATTAATCTGCATTGCAGATTAGACTACATTACATAACGTTAGAGAGCTGAATTCAACTTTGTTATCACATATCAACATGATTTGTTCATAACAGTCCTTCAGGTCATGTTAATCTTTATTTAAAGTGTCTCAATACAAACAAATAACATAAAAAGAGAGCGAGATTAAGACAGCAGACATGCTTTCATTCATACTCCATGTTGAACACGCCTTCTGTCCTCTTCCCCCCTGTTCTAGGGTCAGAGGGTAGTGCCATTGGGAGTGATGAGGAGGAGGGGTCCAAGGAGGAGAGCGCTGCTGAGGACTCTGACAACGACAGCGACTCGGACAACATCGGCTCTGCAACGGACGGCATCAATGAGGAACAGACCAAGGAGCTGACAGGTGACGACACCCCCACCGAGGAGGAGGAGAAGACCAAGGAACAGCAGCCGTCCTCTGACACTGGCACCACTACCACTAAAGACCCTGCTCCATCAGGGGTGCCCAGGGGCCAACGGAGGAGAGAAGAGAAGGTTTCGGACACAGAGGCTGGGAGTGGAGGAAGCGGGAGTGGCACAGGTAGGCTATGTTTTCAAATGTTATTTTTTTATATTCATGTTTTGAAATTATAATAAACGTGAAAAATTAAAACCCTTGATCCAGGTAGTGGTAATGCGGAGGACGGCGGCTCAACAACGGCCGCCACACAGGAGCCCAAGAAGTGGAATCTGCGTCGTAACCGCCCCATGCTGGACTTCACCACCATGGAAGAGCTCAACGAGATGGACGACTACGACAGCGAAGATGACAACGACTGGAGGCCCGCCACCGGCAAGAAGAAAGCCAAGACGGCGGCTGCCCAGAAAGGAGGAAGCGAGGGAGAGGAGGACGAGGAAGATGACGACGGAGGGAGCGGTAGTGATGAGGATGACAATGGTGGTGATGATGATGAAGCTGAGAACGAAGAAGGGTGCAGTAGCGACAGTGATAAAGAGGTGAAGAAACCCAAGAGGAAAGTGAAGAGCAGCAGTGTGTTTGACGAGGAGCTGACCAATGACAGCATGTCACAGGGAAAGAGCAACGAGGTAAACACAACTTGATGTCCTTGTCCTCTTTATCACTTTAATACTTTGTTGTTTGCAAACTGCCTCACGCCCTCAGCATGTAGGCGTATCATGTAGTCGTGAAAGTTGTTAGAGAAGTTTGTATAACTCTCTGATCCCTTCATTGGATCCAGTGTGGTAGCCAGCCCAGCACTATGTTACTATGTGCCACAGAGTTATCTTATAATCCAATGAGGAGATTGGATGGTATCAAGAGTGAGAGAACCACAGAGACTGTTAAGCTAATCGACTTAGCTTAGAGTCCATCAGTGTGAATGAGATTTAGCCTACTGCTGTCTATCAATTACAATCTGTGGCCAGATGAGAGGGGAGATTGTGAGAAGCTTTAGATTTAGGACTTGGAGGAACTTTGTTTGAAGAGGCCGGGGAACTTTATTTTTTGCGGTCCGGTTGCGTACAAACATATTAGAATCACACGTAACAGTGTATTACATTCAAACACGGAGATGAAGACATTTTAGAGACCTATACATTTCACCTAGTTAAAAACAGAACACGTGTACAACAGCCACAATATAGTGTATAAGAGTACATTGATATTGGTTTTACTGAAACTTTACTGTGTCTCCCACTTCCTGTCTACCCAGGAAGCCCTGCTGGAGCGTGCCCAGACGTGGAGCGCGGCGGCCCAGAGGATGGAACACATCCTGATCTGCTGTGTGTGTCTGGGAGACAACAGCGAGGACGCTGACGAGATCATCCAGTGTGACAACTGTGGTGTGACCGTACATGAAGGTAAGCACCACCAAGAGATATGTAGCTTATATAATAGTAGCCTTTTCTTATTCTAGTTCTATGGTAGGCACAGGTCAGAAACACAGCTGTTCAGAAGGGCTAGGACTACCTTGGTAGCTGTTCAGGTTTTTTTTGTCAAGGCAAAGATTTAAGGATGAGCAGGTGTTTAGGTGCCAGGCTGGGTTTTGGTAGCAAGTTCCATATACCCACAACCAGAATCAAACACGAAATAATCACCACTTCACCGTCCACCCCACACCTAAACATAAGCAGGGAAACCAGCAATACAAAAGGGCATTCTCCCCATATAGCCCTGGCCTGGGGAATCAACAGACTAACCCTCTTCCTCTTCATCTAAATTATGGGCTCATTGTGTCTCCCTCTGACTGGTTGGAAACAAATCAACGCTGGCCATGGACACCACTGGATCAATGTGACAGCGCTAATTTTCAATTACAGATGTTTTACTGATTTAAAGCACCTAGAAACGGAATGTATGCAGGCACACATGCAGGCACGCACACACACACACCATGGCCATTGGCAGCACTAAATCAGAGGGTAACCTTGAAACAGCCAGGGTCTTTCAAGTGCCCCCCCCCTCTCTCACTCACTCATTCACTCACACACACACTTATCTCTCCCTCCCTGTGTTAATATTGTGTTCCTCTGAGACCTGTCTAATCTCCATGAGAAGATGGGACCATGCTGAGTGGTGTGGTCAGGGACTGGAGAGACCAGGGCAGAACAGAGGGGACCATGCTGAGTGGTGTGGTCAGGGACTGGAGAGACCAGAGCAGAACAGAGGGGACCATGCTGAGTGGTGTGGTCAGGGACTGGAGAGACCAGGGCAGAACAGAGGGGACCATGCTGAGTGGTGTGGTCAGGGACTGGAGAGACCAGAGCAGAACAGAGGGGACCATGCTGAGTGGTGTGGTCAGGGACTGGAGAGACCAGGGCAGAACAGGCAGAAGGAGCACTTTGAGGCCAGTTCTAATCTTTCTCTGCTCTCTGAAGAGGTTGGTTTGTCTTTTTACCAGGTAGAATAAGTTACCTTTCTCAGGCTATCTGGTCTTGTAAAACTTTTCAGGTAATTTACTGTGCCGGCTACTTCATAGGTTTAAAATAATTGTTGATATTTTTGATCAACAGCTGGAGTATTAATGTTCGTACCTATTATCTGTATTGTAGTAATGTATTAAAGGTGCCTGGTTAAACAATGCATATTCCTGTTCTACGATTCTACAGCGCCACAGAACAAGTTGTGCGCCATAAGAAAATGCAAAAACTACAAATGTTTTTGCTCGTACTAACATGCAGCATCTAATTATTTGGGTCCTCCTGTATTTATTTTGTCCATTTATTCCTAATGTCAATTACAGTTGGGAAAGAATGCATTACATTTACCAACCAGACTTTCTCCGGTTATTATTAAATTAATTTAATCGGAATGGCATGTACCAGGCCAGCGGCTTTCATTTTCTTTCTATTGCAATGTAAGATGGAGAGGATGCAAGTGTTGTAAGAGAGGGGAGAGAGAGAAAGGGGGTGGAAAGAGGGAGTGGGAGGACTGTAGAAAATGCACAATAAGACATGCATAGAAGTTGGAGGACTGTAGAAGAGCAAGAAAGCGACAAGTAGGAACTCTCTTTCTCCTTCATTTGCCTCGCCGTGGCATTTTCCCCTCCCGTGGTGGAGAGGGCCAGGCAGGTAGGAGTGTCGTGGCCACCCCCTCACTGAACAGACAGCTGTTCCATACTGAACACTGCCCCTCCCTCGCAAGCCATTTCTTAGACACACAGATACACACACAGCCCCTCCTCGTGAGCCAGATGCACCACAGTGCCAGGCGCCCTGAGGGAGAGGGGGGTTGATTGGTTCAGGAGAGGGTTGGCCCACATGGTTGCCTCCATGTCACAACTGCTCACCTGCAGCTCTGCGCAGCAGCTTGGAAACACACACACACACACACACACACACACACACACACACACACACACACGTCAAGGCAGAACCTGTCAAATGCATGGGATGATGCTGGCATGAAATGGGAAACAGAGGAACAGCCAGGGCCTTTCTACAGATTCTGTGCCCAGTGCCCCACCCTGAGGAGAGGATATTGAGCTGCCGTTTTGGCAACTCAGGAGTTTCAACTGTAGTGGGAGGTGTAGAGGATGCTGGATGCTAAAGCTATGCATTGTTCTGTTAGCCTTTTTGGCTCCAACTAGCTCACGTATAGCTCATGGTTTTGGGGTCAAAAGGTGCTGGGTTATCCTCCATCCTCCTTTCTCTGGGCTGTAGAGGCACAGTGCTCTTTATGATGTCCCTGACTCACTATTCTGAGAAAATAAGAGAGTGAGGGTGGAGGGAGAACAAGGGATGGTAACAGGAAAGAGAGAGAGAAAACGAGGGAGGGATCGTGAGGAAGAGATGAGAGATGAGCTGTCATTATCTGCAGCTTGGTTGAGTCGTCCGACCGCCTCGTCTCTCTGCTTGACTCTAGAACTCTTTGTTCTCCTTTCCGGAGCACTGCACATTCCCTCGTTCAGACAGACACTCCTCCTTGGACCAGAGGGAAGGAACGATGGATGAAAGATGAAAGGAGAAGATGCAGGAAGTAAAGTGCAGAGAGAGAGAGAGAGAGATCAAAAGCCTTGGTGAGCACAGCAGAGGCTCAGAGAGCCAGTTGTCCATACAGACAGAGCCTGTATCTGTCACAGCCCTGGAACCTGCAGACTAGCTGCTTTTGATTAGCATGGGCTAGTGTGTGTTTGTGTGTGTGTGTGTGTTTGTGTGTGTGTGTGTGTTGAATGATCACAGACATCATTAACTGCATCGCCATTAAAGAAGCTCTGATGCTCTCTCTCTCTCTCTCTCTCTCTCTCTCTCTCTCTCTCTCTCTCTCTCTCTCTCTCTCTCTCGATCTGCTTCATGTCTTCTGGACTGAAGCCTAAATGCTCATTCTAGCCTTTCAGTAGTGAAGACAGTCACTTGTTGATTATTTTTATGTCCCTTCTTTACAATTTATTTTATTTTTCGTCTTGCAGTTTTACTGTTTCAGCAGTGTAATGGTATCCAGTGTCATTTTAAAGCAGGATGGCTGTTAAAATGCTTTCCCCTAATATAAGAACATTACATTGTCATTAATAGGCCTAGGCTGCGTCCCAAATGGCACCCTATTCCATACACAGGGCTCTGGTCAAAAGTAGTGCACTAATAAGGAATAGGGTGCCATTTGGGACACATCATTCTACCACCAATTAAATCCCTGTGCTGTTGATTTCACTCGGCTCCCTAACGAGTTCTGGACCGTAAAGTTAATGATTTTCTCAAATGTGCTTAATTCATTTAGGCACCACTGTTTGGGCTTATTTGTTTAAATGCATATTCAGTAGAAAACAATATGTTTGGGAGGGACGCTTTAGTTGTTGTTGCAATGGATATCACATTTAGCAGTTGAAATTAATTGTTTTTTTTTCTCATTTAAAACACAAGCTTTTATTGCGTTTTACATCCTTGGGCTAACCACTGGCGGGTGGCGTGTACTGAGCCCTAGAAATCACAGCTAGAGTTTTTAAGAGTCCCTACAATGCCCATTTGTGACTAACTGGTCTGGCGTGTGACATACTGTAGTAGCAGCAGAAAGACAGTTGACTGACGCCCCAGTAGATGACAAAGGTTCACACTGACAGTGTCCTTGGGGCCTTGTACTGTAAAACAGATACAGGACAAGGCACAAATCATATACTGCTTCCTTCTATCCCCCTTTACTGTAAGGGTGCTAGTGTAATGCTGCGTATTAAATGGCACCTAATTCCCTATACAGGGCCTTCGAAAACTATTCAGACCCCTTGACTTTTTCCACATTTTGTTACGTTACAGCCTTATTCTAAAATGGATTAAATAAAACAATTTGCTCAGCAATCTACACACAATACCCCATAATGACAAAGCAAAAACAGGTTGTTAGACATTTTTGCAAATGTATTAAATACAAAAAACAGAAATACCTTATTTACATAAGTATTCAGACCCTTTGCTATGAGACTCAAAGTTGAGCTCAGGTGCATCCTGTTTTCATTGATTATCCTTGAGATGTTTCTACAACTTGATTGGAGTCCACCTGTGGTAAATTAAATTGATTGGACATGATTTGGAAAGGCACACACCTGTCTATATAAGGTCCCACAGTTGACAGTGCATGTCAGAGCAAAAACCAAGCCATGAGGTCGAAGGAATTGTCCGTAGAGCTCCGAGACAGGATTGTGTCGAGGCGCAGATCTGGGGAAGGGTACGAAAACATTTCTGCAGCATTGAAGGTCCCGAAGAACACAGTGGCCTCCATAATTCTTAAATAGAAGAAGTTTGGAACCACCAAGACTCTTCCTAGAGCTGGCCGCCCGGACAAACTGAGCAATCGGGGGAGAAGGGCCTTGGTCAGGGAGGTGACCAAGAACCCGATGGTCACTCTGACAGAGCTCTAGAGTTCCTCTGTGGAGATGGGAAAACCTTTCGGAAGGACAACCATCTCTGCAGCACTCCACCAATCAGGCCTTTATGGTAGAGTTGCCAGACGGAAGCCTCTCCTCAGTAAAAGGCACATGACAGCCCACTTGGAGTTTGCCAAAAAGCACCTAAAGGACTCTGACTATGAGAAACAAGATTATTTTGTATGATGAAACCAAGATTGAACTCTTTCAAGGCTGACGTTTGGCAAATCAAACCTTCAGCTCTCTCCACAGATTTTCTATGGGATTAAGGTCTGGAGACTGGCTAGGCCACTCCAGGACCTTAATGTGCTTCTTCCTGAGCCACTCCTTTGTTGCCTTGGCCGTGTGTTTTGGGTCATTGTCATGCTGGAATACCCATCCACGACCCATTTTCAATGCCCTGGCTGAGGAAAGGAGGTTCTCACCCAAGATTTGACGGTACATGGCCCCATCCATCGTCCCTTTGATGCGGTGAAGTTGTCCTGTCCCCTTAGCAGAAAAACACCCCCAAAACATAATGTTTCCACCTCCATGTTTGACGGTGTGGATGGTGTTCTTGGGGTCATAGGCAGCATTCCTCCTCCTCCAAACATGGCGAGTTGAGTTGATGCCAAAGAGCTCGATTTTGGTCTCATCTGACCACAACACTTTCACCCAGTTCTCCTCTGAATCATTCAGATGTTCATTAGCAAACTTCAGACGGGCCTGTATATGTGCTTTCTTGAGCAGGGGGACCTTGCGGGCGCTGCAGGATTTCAGTCCTTCACGGCGTAGTGTGTTACCAATTGTTTTCTTGGTGACTATGGTCCCAGCTGCCTTGAGATCATTGACAAGATCCTCCTGTGTAGTTCTGGGCTGATTCCTCACCGTTCTCATGATCATTGCAACTCCACGAGGTGAGATCTTGCATGGAGCCCCAGGCCGAGGGAGATTGACAGTTCTTTTGTGTTTCTTCCATTTGCGAATAATCGCACCAACTGTTGTCACCTTCTCACCAAGCTGCTTGGCGATGGTCTTGTAGCCCATTCCAGCCTTGTGTAGGTCTACAATCTTGTCCCTGACATCCTTGGAGAGCTCTTTGGTCATGGCCATGGTGGAGAGTTTGGATTCTGATTGATTGATTGCTTCTGTGGACAGGTGTCTTTTATACAGGTAACAAGCTGAGATTAGGAGCACTCCCTTTAAGAGTGTGCTCCTAATCTCAGCTCGTTACCTGTATAAAAGACACCTGGGAGCCAGAAATCTTTCTGATTGAGAGGGGGTCAAATACTTATTTCCCTCATTAAAATGCAAATCAATTTATAACATTTTTGACATGCATTTTTCTGGATTTTGTTGTTGTTATTCTGTCTCTCACTTTTCAAATAAACCTACCATTAAAATGATAGACTGATAATTTCTTTGTCAGTGGGCAAACGTACAAAATCAGCAGGGGATCAA